ACCAAGTCATCTCACTTCCATCTCCTATAATCTTTCCATTCCTCACACATGTGGCTCCACTATTTTGTTATGCATGATACACATCTATCTCACACTTATTTCCACAGAGTTTAAATGAAGAGTGATACTTCAAATCACTTGGTTCATGGATGCACTTTCCACTTTGGTATTATTTGTTTAATGGAAATTGTATGCATCCAGTGCATGCATTACCACAAGTGAAGAACACTCAGGTGCATTTTGTAGCATGTTTACACATTATTCTTACAGTATTATTATTATTATTATTATTATTATTATTATTATGCTACTAGTCAGTAATTCCTGCTATAAGACAGGTAATGTCACGATAAGTATACAAAATATAGTTTCATACATAGAAAAGATGAAAAAAATTCAAAGTTGAGCTCATTGAATTTCATTTTTATCATACTGTTACATCCATTTTGCAGTTATCATATACAAACTACTGGACTGGGAGTTGCATATAACATTTTAATGCTCCTTGATTAGTTCACCATCCTAAACAGCTGCAGTGTGCAAATGCTGTGGCTGGACCATTTGGCAAACTATATGAAATGATTATGAGGTTCTTGGCATCCAAGTGTTTTCTCAGCATTTGGGAAATAGAGCATTTTTGACAGAACCACAATAGTATGGCCATCAGTGCCAAAGAATAAAGGAGACAAAATGAGGGAAAACTTTTTAGTAGAATACATACATGCAACACCCTATATATACTAATACCTAACTCATTCTGTAACTGCATGTGCTTAATATTATTATTACTATTGTTACGTTTATTTTTACCCAGCTTTATGTCTCTATACGAGACTCAGACCAGCTTACAGTAAAATCAATTGAAATACAATTTTAAACTTAAAAATATACAAACATTAACATAGAATTAAATATTAAGGGTATTAAAAAAATAAAGTCAAAATCCTTAAAGACTGATAAAAAACATATTTAAACTAAATCCACAGCACCCTGACTTGATTTTTTTTTTTAAAAAAAACTTCTTTAAAAGCCTGCCTGAGTAAAAATGGCTGCAACCATGCATCAGAGGGAGGTATCAGTCTTGGGGAAGTTTCTATCACTAAACAGATACATGTTGCCTTTAGGGACAAACCCCCTAAAACTGAGAGGGAATCCTAAAACAACCTAGTGATGACAGAACATGCTCACTAGGCAGGTAATGTTAAAAGTTGGGGGAATGGAAAAAAGTAGGTGGTGTAGGGAAAAGGATGTGAGGATTCCTGTGCCTTTAATGGCATTCCTTAATTTTAGTGACCTTAGTTTTGAGTAATTCAAACTGTTCCAATCTTCTTGCTTCCATTTTGGTTCTCTTCCTTTGGTCATGCTGGATAGGAATGCCACAATGAAAAGTGGATAGGGCTCTTGTATCCTTGATGGTTATACAAAAAAGAGAATCCCAGTAGCTATGTCTTCACATGTAACTGGGTAACAAGAAAACCCTGCTGAAATTTGCCCATCCATAACCTTACAGGTACAGGAACCCACTCCAAGTTTTCATTCTGGCAACTCCAGGGAGGAATGGGACAAAAGAGCATGGTATGGAGTATTGAGAGGGAGTGCTTCACTTTGCATCATTCATACTCCCACTTGTTTGTCTTTGCCTTACCTAATAGACATTCTAGGGGTAGCCAACTTGTCTAAAAGACAAAACCAAGAAATACATTCAAAATCTATGGTAGTATGCAGACTTGATCGGTCAAAAGATACAAAATACATTACACTGACTTCAAAACTTCACATTCTTCAGCTTCAGGCAAGGATGTTAAAATAGAACCCATGGGGAAAGAAAGTGACAATGTTGTCACAGAACAATTCATTAATTGTTGGTAAGTTTTACTGTAGATTTTTATGCTGCAGTTGTTTACAGTAGCTAATAAATCTCAAGTTATGCTGTAAAGCAGCCTACGATGAGATTTTATGAAGGATGGCATAAAAATACCATAAATAATAAGGAACACAATTTTGGCCTTGTTGAGTAAGCCAAGGTACCTCTAGCCTTCTATTCTTTGGCTGATATTCAGAAGCTGAGCAGGAAAACAATGCTATTTTTGTGGTTTGTTGTAGGTTTTCTGGGCCGTATGGCCATGTTTTAGAAGCATTCTCTCCTGATGTTTTGCCTGCATCTATGGCAGGCATCCTCAGAGGTTGTGAGGATGCCTGCCATAGATGCAGGCAAAACATCAGGAGAGAATGCTTCTAGAACATGGCCATAGAGCCCAAAAAACCTACAACTCAGTAATTCCAGCCATGAAAGCCTTCGACAATATAATGCTATTTCCCATGCCATTGGTCTCATCCCCAGAAGCTCTGTATATGGAAGTCTCATTTAGCGATTATAACTAATAAAAATCTAATTGAATTTTGGGAGAGAATTCACAACTTAATAAACACAGTTTCCTAGTTATTATTAGGAGACAATGTAACATTGTTTTTATTACCTATTATACCAAGTAGCAATTTCAGATGGTATGAGGACCTAGATATAACTGGTGTTTGTTTTTTAATTGGAGGAGACCCCTGAATCCATGGGATTTACACATTTACTATTGTGCCTATAGATTTGATGTAGTTGAAACTAGAATTTGGATTTAGGCTTGTCTGTTTGAAATATGGTGAATTAGTACCTGACTGGGAAGATAGTTTAACTTGATATAATAAGGTAGTTCCTTTATTATCAACACACAGAAAACACTACAGCCTCACAAAGGAGTGGACACTAAATTTACAGCAACAGCAGTTGAATCTGCCTCTTGTCTCTTAAACATTTTGATGGCGTATTCTCCGATCTCGTATCCTCCACATGCACTAACCATTGTCCCTTTCACTTCCAATGTTCTCCTCGGCTAGGGAGCTGTATCTCTTAATATTTTGCATGTAAGCCTGGAAAGGAGACCAACTAACACCAGATATAGTAGGTTATATTTCAGAAGAAGGAACTAGCAAAATCACCTCTGAGCATTATGAAATTTATGGGGTTATTATAAGTCAGCACGCGACATGAAGACACATGCACATATATAAACAATTAGAGATACGAAGAATAAAACAGCATTTGCCAGCATGAGCCATACTCCCACTAGGTAAAATGGCAAGGGAGCAAAAATATTACCAAGATTCACAGAAGTTATGGCAAACCACTTTTAATTTCATACAATTGTTTGGAGAGAACCACAGGAACCAATGTGCTGTTCTTATGCAAGTGCACAGAGTCACCCGGCCCTAGGTAATCAATGGTCTATTAACTCTCTGGCAAAAGTAATCAGGAATCTGTAATTGATTAATTCTTAGATCCATTAATCACGCACTTGAAATAAGAACTCATTTTCAAAGTAACCATTAACAGTAACCCTGATCAAATGAGACTTTCACACTGATTTGATTTTTATTTGCAGAGGTCATTGTTTTATTAATGAAAGGAAAATGAACTGCAGAAGATGGATTAAACAGCTGGGAATAGTGTACAGCCAAAACTTCATATGATGGCAGTGGCAGCAGGAATGAACAGAAGTGAGAATGAGCAGCAAATCATCATCAAAGGCAAAATGCTACACATAATTCCATGCAGGGAAAGGACATGATTCCTCCCAAATTCACAGAGAGATATTTAATATACTGCTCTCACTTCACAAGGAAACAATTCAGTATTATTTGGGTTATGAGCCCAGCTATATCCTTTGAAGTGGGTTTCTTACATTATTCTTAGTGCTCATATCTTTTCCATAACCAGGTATTCTGTATGTGTGTAAGGGTATGTAGTTACTAAGCTACCTATGAATTTACCATAGGCTGTAATCCTACATTTTAGAGCTAGAATCCTCTTAAACAGCTAAGTAACTTCCTTCTTTCATATGCAGGTTGTGCTTCGACTTTCTTTTTTCCATGAGGAGTGACTTGAGAAACTGCAATTCGCGTCTGGGGTGAGAGAATTGGCCGTCTGCAAGGACGTTGCCCAGGGAACGCCTGGATGTTTTGATGTTTTACCATCCCTGCGGGAGGCTTCTCTCGTGTCCCAGCATGGGGAGCCAGATCTGTCAGAGGGAGCTCATCCACACTCTCCACGGATTCAAACCTGTAACCTGTCAGTTGACAGTCCTGCCGTCACAAGGGTTTAACCCATTGCACCGGGGGGGGGGGGGGGGGAATGGGGACTCCGTGCTTCGACTCACTTTTACAGATAATTTCCTGGCACATGTCAAATCTATTTTTGTACCTGGATGAAACTGGATGCTTCTCAAAGAACTTTCAAGAGCTTGAATTGTTTTGTTGTCATCGTCATCATCATAATCACATTAAGATTTCTCCCCCAGCCTATTTCTAATTCTCAGTCCACTTCTGTAACAGATTTACAACAAGCTTCAGATTCTGTAAAGCTCTAACTCTTATGATTCTGATGAATTATTCTTATTTCAACTGACTTCCATCCCAATTTATGAATACAATAAATCCTGCAATATTTTAGCTGATTTCCATGTCATTGATATGAGAACCGAAGAACAATCTATATCTAAATTGTCTGCTCAGGCCTATCATTCTGTTCTCAAATTCCTTCTGCTCCTGTTCACAGGCAATGGGCCACATAGAAGCCTCTGTTTATTACTGAATGCTATATATAGCGATCATAACTAGTAGCTATTGACAGACATTATCTTTTATGCATTCTTAATAATCTGTGGCAAATTCAAATTTAATTCATATGCCAGAAGTGACAGGGGTTATGATGTACCTTTTCTTTCCTGCTGAATATATCATTTCTTTAACATGTCTAATAAACTTGGCATTCAGGGGGCTACTATACTATGCCGAGGAGAGCAAAGCGCTGCCCACTGTGAATGATTAACTTGATAGAATTGCAGATAACAACATACAGGTCTTTCTTTTCGAGAGGCTGTACGTTAATGGAGGTCTAACAGATGTAACTTTGGCTTTTATCATGTTTTACCAGGTATTTTTCCAGTTTTGCAACCTGATGATGTGGACAAGATCCCCGAAGAGGTGACAGCTATCACATGTGTGTTGGAGCTGTCCCCGTCTTATAAAAGCAGCCCGAGAGGAACTGACTATGTAAGTACAGGGAGTTATAAATAAATGTAAATCTAAGAATAATAATAGGTGAATGCTTGCATTTAACAGGCAAGGATGTCAGCATGGCTTGAAGTTGCTATGGCTAAGACATTTATCGGGCAGCTAAGACAGTTTTTTCTGATGGCCTTTAGTCTTCGATATAGGCCTGGCTCTTTCAGCTTTCTGGAATTTAATTACTTTGAAGGAAAGTTTCTGGAATTTTGTTTTAAGTCTTAAATTAATGGATTTTTAAAAGTTGTTTTTAGCCATTGCATAATATCACTTTGGAAGACCTAGTGAGCTGAAGGGCAATACAGGCAGTTCCCAAGTTGCAAACAAGATAGGTTCTGAGGCTTTGTTCTTCAGTTGAATTTGTATGTAAGTTGGAACAGGTATATTTTAAATGTAACTCCAAACTCTCTCTTTCTCTCTCTCTGTGTGTGTGTATCTATATCGATATCTCTCTATATATCTATATCTATTACACATACATACACATACACCTTTGGATGGCATAGTGAAAGGTTAACACCCCCGTGGTGTTTGTTTTGCTATCTTTGCCATTGTTCAGAAGATCTCCCCCTACTTTATGTCCCTATGATAATTGGATCTTAAAAAAAAAAGTTTGCTGTAGAAACAAGAATTGGTGATAAAATTACAATTAAGACATCTTTTCCCTATGACAACTCTTTCAGGAGTGAATTTTCCTTCTTAGGGATAGATTTATCTCGTAAGATAAAGGTGGATATTATTTTATGTTAATGAAAAGTGTCCTCTGCCACTTAGATAGAAAAAATAAATTTCCAGATATTCATTTTGCTAGTTCTATTCACTACCATCGTTGGGACATTTGTCCCAGGTAAGATATGGATAGGAAGCATGAGTGATATAGGCTTGCTTGTAGTTTTGTTGGGCCATCACATATGATGCCTCAAAATATGTGAGGTTTTTTTTTCTTGAATGTTGGATATGTCCTGAGCCAGGGTTCACCTGCTGGAACAACTTATCAACATCAAGATTTAGAAAGGCTTAACACCACAGTAATCTGTGAATGCCAGAGCTCAGCCTTCATATACAGAGTGAGCATCAGGAATGCACAAGTGAATTCAGTAAGTGTCACGAGTTTATAGCTTTTTCTAAATAGAGACTATTGAATCAGAGCTCGAAAGAGACTAAAACGTCCAGGAAGGATGAAACATCACATTTTTTATTCAAAATAAAAACTGCCTCATTTCATACCTTGCCTTGGGAAAAAAATGTGTAGGCTTATACATCTCCATTCAGATCCAGCTCCCCTTCTGTGTTTATGCAGAAAAGTCACCTTGGTGCTTTCTTTTCACACTGCTTGAGTCATGTTTATAGCCATAAGGACACTAATTGCATTCTGTTCTGGCCAACGTGCCCTCTTCACAGGTTAATAAGTTCACTATGCATACCTGCTTGCTGCTTTTAGAAGCCATGAGCTGTGTGCTTTGCTCACAGGAGTGTTAATTAGTTGCCTTTGAAGATGCATTACTGTTACCCCCCTCAGGCTTCCTAGTTGCTTTTAGGAGCTGCAGTATATGTTTAAATAAAGAAGCCCTACTAGATGTAGCTCAAGATCTTAGAACCGCAATATACAAAATATTCAGTGATTTTTTTTCAACACATATTCTTATTGAAACAGCAAATTTTATTGGAGGTCTGATAATAACCCCTCAATACTATATTCCAGCTGGTATTAAATTATAATCAAATCAATGCTTTAGATGCAACCAGACCTCTGTGGCCCAAACCTCTGAGACTAGGACAACCTTGGGTGTCTAGGTTTATGTCTTCATTCAGATCCAGTTCCCCTTCTGTATTTAGGCAGACAAGTCACTTTGGTGCCCTTTTTCACACTGCCAGGACTAAATAATCATTGAACCACTTGAATATGGGTGAGGTGGTTTTCTTGTTTGTGGCAGAGGGTTTAAAAAAACAACGAAGTGCTATGGGATGCCTTGAGATTACCCAGTGTTTTCTAGTCCCCTTCCAAGTAGTTAGCATCTGGACACCAGGGTAAGTGTTGACTTGAAAGGCTTGTTCTTGAAATAGGGGAACAGGGCCGACAACTGATCACTGTGTCTGTAAATGAGTGATGTTTTAAGACACCTTGGGGAAATGAGGATTACTTTGGCCCTTGGATCCCTGATTGACTACTTTGTAAAGAAAGGTTAAACAGAAGGTGCACAGGTGGCCTGGATCTTCAGCTATTCAGCAGATTGCATCTTTCTTCATAGTTGAAGGTGAATCTTGTGTAGGGAAGCCCAGCTTCATAGTCAGTCAAGCAAAGACATCCTGATTAAGAGTTCACGCTCTAGGACACAGGATTTGCCTCCTGAACAAGTTTAGTTTAATGAACAGAGCACAATTTAGTTGTCTCAATCTGAAAGCAAATGTGGGGATGTTGTCAATAGAACAGTATAGCATCTGAAATCCAAAAAACATCTGAAGCATTTTGGATAATGGAGAATTAACCTTCAATGAGTCAGAAACTGATTTTGTCCCTAACTTGGGAAGGGATAGGGAGGGGGGGGGGATGTTTAAGCCTTCGCAATGCTATGAATCATAGATCTCTTTACTCTGAAAAAAAGTTTAGGTACTTAGTTCTGTCAAGTGAAAAATTGTCATCATCTATATTCTCCAGCTATTCTGCACATTTAGCTGATTAGGAGTTCTTCTCAACTGACATTCATAAGATCACAAATATCAAAATGTAGTTTAGTTATGAATTAGCTAGCTCATCCTCTGATGGGTTATCAAACATTACAATCAAATTGATGTTACGTGTGTAATGATATCATTGATATAGTGCTCATGAGCTTCAAAGGTAACTAGTTGCCTTTTGACTCCTGAGAAAAGCAGTCACAAAAAAAGAATGAAAGCAAAAGTCTAGTTAAATAGATAAGCACCACCTCCATTATGCAAAAAACCTCTTTTAAAAAATCTACTCATGCCCAATATTTCTACAACTGTCTACATACTTCATCACACTAGATAATGAATCCTCTTTAGCTCTGGTTTCTGCCTCCTGCAGATTTCTGGAGTTTGTAGTTTAGAAAGGCTGTTAAAGGCTCCTCCCTAAACTACAAGCCCCAGAATTCTGCAGGAGGCAGCAATCGGGTTTAAAGTGGATTCATTCTCTAGTGTGATGAGGTCTTAAATTTAACCTTTTACAATATCACACAAAGGCTAATCATTTCAATACATTCCATCATTTTTATAAAAGTTCATCAATGTACAGTTTTGAACAAATGGTAGTACTAATATAACTGTACAAACAGCATGTTTTCTCAGTATTTCTACCTTAGAACAAAGGCAGATGGCTGGGAAGTCCTGTTTACTAGCTACATCTGGCACATCTATTTTGTTTGCCATGTTAAAACAAATCAGATATTTTTCTGCAACTAAAGGCATGTTATTGAGTGGATTGCTTACTTTATATATTTCTGCAGTATACAAAACCTGCATGATTTTAATAAACAACTAAAGCAAAAACTGAATATTCCACCCAAGGCACAAGAGAGATGAATCCAATCTATGCCACATACTAAAAAAGTTTGCTTCAGATGATTGTTCCCATTAGCTTATCGCTCTCAGTAATTGCAAAGTTTCCAACTGATAATAAAATACTGGAGGATATAGATGATGGTCTGATATTGCATTGAAAAGAATATCTACAACTAGTAAAAGCACATTTACTTACTTTCAACAATTCTGCTTCAGAGGGAGAATCTTCAACAATTTTTCTGTGTGATTGTGCATTAAGTCAAGGCAAGTTTTAAATGTCCATTGAATGTTCATGGCCAGTATTGTTCCACCTTTCATCTTTAAGTTTAGCATAAGAGGTGTGCCAAAGGGCAGGGCATATTACAATAAACACAAGGTTGCCACGAAAATGCCAAAACTTCATCCCCCCCCCCCCCATTTTCATCTGTTTTCACATTCACTATGATCTGATCTAATAACAGTGTGCAATTCTAAACAGATAACAACTAATGACACTGAAGAATGATGAAGAAGTGTGCACTGTCGTGGCATAAAAATATAATCTTACACAGGGTGGGGATTCACAATCTAGGTGTTTTTTCAACTGTATCCTAGTGTTCTTGGTACTCTTGAATTGGATGCAGAGACTTCTCAAGTAGTTAATTTGCAACACTTAAATCTCTCAAAAGCCATGTGAAGGATGGGAAGATTACAGTATGAAATTTTAAACCGATTTCGTTGTGACTTCCAAATTAGGGGTATGGCTTAAACTGCCAAGCTGAAGTTAGGAGGAAAATCTCTGTGAATCTTTGTGCAGACAATACAGGCAGTCCTCAACTTACAAACAAAATAGGTTCTGTGGGTTTGTTCTTAAGTTGAATTTGGGACAGGTACATTTCTTAAGTGTAACTCCAGAGACAGATACACACACACACATATACATATATAAGCTTTGGATGGCATAGAGAAGACCGAATATCCCTGTGGAGTTTGTCTGGCTGTCTGTGCCCCTCTTCAGAAGATTTCACCTCATTTTCTGTCCCTGTGATAATTAAATTTTGAAAAAAATGGCTTGTTGTGGAAACAAGGATTGGTGATAAAATTTCGTGGAAGCACCTTTTTCTCCATAGTAGCTCTTCCAGGAGTGGGTTGATGTAAGTTTTTTGGGCTATATGACCATGTTCTAGAAGCATTCTGTCCTGACGTTTCACCTGCATCTATGGCAGGCATCCTCAGAGGTTGTAAGGTCTCACAACCTCTGAGGATGCCTGCCATAGATGCAGGCGAAAGGTCAGAAGAGAATGCTTCCGGAACATGGCCATACAGCCCGAAAAACTTACAGCAACCCAGTGATTCTGGCCATTAAAGCCTTGGACAATACATCTTCCAGGAGTGAATTTCTCTTCCTAGAGATAGATGTCTCTCACTTCCTATTGCCTTCGTTCTTTACTAGGAGTAATTTGTAAGTTGGATATGTGTAACTAGGGAACTGCCTGTGCACAAATAAGAATCTGTGCTTGCAGTTCAACAAGACATTATTTATTTATTTACTACATTTATATGCCACCCTTCCCACCTTGAAGGGGACTCAAGAGCGGTTTAAAAGATATAATTGTTTCAGATTTGTGCGGTATTTTCTTTGGACTTCATTCTGGTCTTGATGTAATACAATTAAGACACAAGGAGTCATTTAATGGGTATTGCTAAGGCCGGACAGCTAGGCTGTTGAAGTACTCTCGTCACAAGGCTGTGGGGCCATGGAGGCACCCTGCCCAAGAGTTGTAAGGCAGCAGGGCTGAAGAGGTGTTGCTATGGCCCCGCGCAGGTGTTGCTATGGCCAGCTATGTCATTTGATACCAGAGATATCTGACTAATAAGGTTAAAAGTGCTTATTAGAAATGTGATAGATGTTCAAAATACGTTGTTGCATGGGAAACGGACCCTTTGAATAATATGCAACTCAAAATTTAAAAAATTGATGCAATTACTAATCAGGAAAAAATGATTCTAATAAATCATTCAGCATTACATTTGCTCTTCATCAACTGAACACGTGGTATCTGAAGTTATTTACATTTTAAGAAGGCTCACCTGGTTTTGAAAATGATATTCACTTCATCTGCATGTCACATGACAAAGGCAATATACTAATTGCTTATTAATTTTGTGAACTTTTAACAGAGCCATAATGAACAAAATGGAAGGATGTCATATTCCATGCCACAATTAAAACATTGAAACATACTACCAGCTTCTACTCCAAAGCAGAGAAAAACAGGTTATTGCCCAGTATATATACAGGTTTTTGAAAAAAAACCTTTAAACACGTTTTCCTAAAAATCTTGCCTTTTAGCTGATTTCATTCTTAAATTTTAAAATGAAAAGTAAAATTTAAAAAATCCCTAAAAGTCCATAAAAATCAGCATACAATTAAAAATGCCAAAATATCTGGAATAAAAGAGACAAATTGAAAAAACCCAGCTTTATGGGGGGTTTTGTGCAACTCTTCAGAATTTGAAAGCCTATCTCACATGGATAGGGATTTTTAAAAGCTTGCTAGACGTGTTGATTCTCCCTTTTGCAGAGTACAGCCAAAGCATTTTCTAAAGTGGCCACTGTAAACAATGCTCATAGATCTGTGTAAAATAGCTGGCATTCAGAAAACTTTTAGTGTTGCCACATTTTTCATGACTTCACTGTTGAGCTAAGAGGACCCCATTTGGGGTCTGGACCAATATTTTAAGAAGCAGTGATCTAGAGAATGTATTTTAGCATGGAACTGAGGAACAATTTTCTGTAAGAATTTAGAACACTGCTTTAAAAGTACCATCAATAAGTATATGAACTATGATCCATTAATGGATTGTATGCATTTAGGATACTAGAATTCAAGTTCTGTGAAGACTTTTAAGAATATATTGTGATCAATACACTTATCAGGGTGAAATTGAGTACAGGATTTTGAGTCAGACTTCTTGAAATAGACAAGAACGGAACAAAATTGTTTTTGATATAAATACAGATATTTGAGATTTGTAAAATATGACAATTTTCATTTGAATCCAGAATTCTAGTCTTATTTGCAATTTAGAGAAAATTGTAAATGTGTTATTGCTTTTAATATATATGTATTGCATTTTATGTGTTGCATGGCACTGTTGTGTACTCTTTGTTAGCTGTCCTGTCCCCATGGGAGATGGTGGTGGGTTATAAATAAAGTTATTATTATTATTATTATTATTATTATTATTATTATTATCATCATCATTATTATTATTTTCCATTTAGAGAAAAATGGAAACATTCAAGCACATGTTAATACACGTATAATTAAATCCCACCTCCCCCTCCCTCAATGTTCCATTATGTCCCATAGACAGACATTGCTCAACGTCTATTTGAGCAAGAATGAGAGTTTATCACCCATGAAAGTATCTTATGAGTAGTGATTTTTTTTAGCAGACACAGAAAATGGAAGATGAACTGCAGCAAAAGCATGGCAAACCTGAAAGATCAATTAGTGCAGAGATCTATTTTAAAAACAGAAAAGATAGAATTTACAAGCTACAATAAAAGTTATGTCTAAAGCTGTAGGTTATACAACAGGGTGGGAAACGTTAATGCCAATTTCTATCTGTGCTTCAAGAAAGCGGTTACTATTTTTGATGCACAAATTCATAGACTTTAAAAGCTGCTATGTTTATCATAGCATTTGATTTTTTATTGTATAAATTCAGACAATTATAAAATCGGATTATTATGCTTTTCCCACCCTGGCAGAGAATAAACATGAATTCAGAAGCACAGTGGAAGTGGAAAACAAGGAAGAAAAGAGAGAAAAGGCAGCAGAGAAAGACAGAAGAGGTGAATACAGAGCTACAGAAGTGTTTATTGAGCATGCTACAGAGGCAAGCAGCGTACACATAAGAAGAAATTAAACAACCATCAAACCTCCCAACTTTGTTAGAAAATTAATTTTTAATTGTGCCGCTTTCAAACTATACTGAAATATTACATTTCTAAAGATGTAAAAACTCAACTAATAGAAAATATACATGACCTTTTTCTACATAGATAACAGAATCTATGAGTTTTGGAACTAAGTACATCAATTGCAAAAGTATTGGTCATTTGAACAGAATCAAGACAACAGTCCGACTGACAGAGGAACTGTTTTCAAATGAAATTTTCCTGTAGATTCTGAGCCATGTTTATAGTAAAGTCAGATCCATTTCTAGATACAAAATATTTTGAAGAGATTTATTAAAACTGAATATTACAATGCAAGGAAAATTAAGACTAAAGGCACATAAACTTTGGTCCCACCTGGTTGTCAGTTTTGTTTTTGTTTTTATAAAGAAAAACTGCCACAAAATTATTAATCTGTCTGCAAAAGTTTGCAATACTTTCTTCATCCTTGAAATACATGCACCAACTCCTGAACTAGCTAGACCAGTCTGCACATGCTCAGAAATCCACAACCATATTTCAAATTGTAATTACTAACTAAAAATGGCAATATATATTTAAATGCACATAAGTCATGTCAACTTCAAAAAACATCTACAAAAAATATTCAGCCACAAACAAGACATTACTTAGTGCCAACATTTATATGATACGCCCCCCAGTGTGTGTACAAAAAGGTTAAGACTTTACAATGCTTTTTCCCTAGTGGCTTGAGGCCACAGGAACAAACAAGCAAGCAAACAAAAAATTAAAATAAAATAAAAGAATCACCTTTCTGCCTTTTAAAGAAATTAATTCTCTGCATCTTGTTAATACTCTCTAACACCTATATCCTTAACTGAACTAAAGGTGGAATACACAAGGCCATTTTAAGTAATAAAAAAGAAGAAAATGTGCTGCATTTTTATTACACAATGCAACTTATTTTGTCTTTAAATGAGTCATGAAAAAGCCAATAAATTTGAAGCAGGAGAAACAAAGCTTAACCCCTTTTACACACTCCTGCCTAATACATATTTGGCATAATCCTGCAATTTAGGTGCCGCAGAGTCCCTCTGAAATCAGTGTGTTTAATGCCACTGATTTCAGCAGGAACAGGCAACCCTAACATTCACAGGATTGCACCCATTAATTCCCATGTAACAATGTGCCCCAGACAACCAATTTTAAACTAGTAAATGCAACTCTAGCAACTCTAGGTTTTCCTTTTTTAAGGCACGTATGTTAACTAAGTTGAAAAACTATGGGATTTCCTCAGAATCCCTTTTAAACAAAATGGTTTCATAAACATATGCAAAACCAGCAGATAATATCACTGCTTCTTCCTTGTAAATCCTTTTTTGTTTTCATTTTATACATAAACAATCAAGGAATGGTAACAGCATGAAAAACAGATGTCCATCTCTGGTCCCCGCTTTCCCGAACAGTCATAGATGACAACACTAAACAATGTGATACAACCTTATTATTTTGATCTCTCACTTCAAATGGTTGATTTGGAAAAAGAAACTCTCAGATGATGATTTTCTCCGAGATTGTAATTATGCAGATCAATCAAGGCTTGGATAGCTTCTTCTACTGTTGACATCTGAAGAAGAGCCATCTTGTGATCTCTTCTGGAACAAAGCAGTAAGATTAGAAACAAAAATAATACTAGAAAGTTGTAAGATAAATCCCATTTTTCCAAAGATGCCTGCACTTTCATTTAAAATGAAATTTCAAAGAAAAAGTGCTTACTGAAAAAATTTAAATGCTTTCACAGTGCCCCCAGTATTAGCAAACAGCATACGCAGGTCATCTTCTGATACTGATGGTCTATAAAAGGAGAGGATAAGAGGGAGAAAAGGATTAGAAAATAACATTTAGTCTTATATCACTCCTTCAGGAAATCTGTGAGGCCAAACTTACGGTATATTAGATAAATGAAGAGTTGCAGATGGAGGGAAAATATTCTGGAAGTTTTTTGAACCAGGCTTCTTGAAGCGATGAAGAGGTGAATTGCCAAAGTCTTTAGTTAGTCCTTGGTCATCAAGTCCTTCTCGAGGTAGTTGTACTGTTTGATGCTTGGAAAGAGTAACACGGATAATCTTTCCATACATTTTCTGCCCGTTAAGATGGCTCATGGCTGGAAAACAGAACAAATAATTCAATTTAGTTTAGTTTCTACTAAATTCCCTGTTAAAAGTTTCTAAATTATTCAGGATTAAACAAAATATATTACTGCCTGACAGCAATTTATTCTGTTACATTAACAAATGTATCTAATCGTATTGCCTGGAAATCTTTTCATTCTAAATGTTACTGACAGCTCATTTAAAAGTGTTGCTCATACTGGAATATATTCAGCAAAGAAAAAAAACCCATCAAAAATCACTTACTTCAAATATTTTAGGACATTTTAGTAAGAGGTATGTTGCCTGAATTGTTTTACTCCCTTACATAATTTATTAAGGATCATATTGAAATAAATATGTGACGTCTTCTAGGTACAACAAGAGTCCCCCGATGGACATAGTTTAATATATCCTAAAGTACATTATTATTACTGTTGTTGAAATAAAAGTATTTTAGTTAGGCTTTTTTGCAATCAATTTAAAGAGATATACATCAGGCTCCAAAAAGCCATAGATGGTGTTCCATACATGTCTTTCAGTACTTCAGTACTTTCATGCAAAATCCCTTTCAAGCTAATATGACCAAAGAGACCTGCAACAAGGGGGGGGGGGGTACTCCTCTACTTTCAAGTGTAAATATAGAGAAGAATCTTATTGTGCACATTTGTCTGGGTGCCAGTTATGGGCTGGTAATCCCTAACACATCCCTGTGTGCTCAACAGTCTTGTGAAGCCTCTCTTAAGATGCTCTTGTTTGTTGATTAACAAGCCACTCCATTTCAAGGAATCTAATTTCCAAAACAGTGCAAGGAGCTATGATCTGAAAAACAAAACAAACCCTCAAACACCTGGATGAAATCCTAGAATGAGCAATATACCTGCAAATTCTTAATGTACTGTAGAGTGTTTGGATCCTGGCCATATGCTCCAACGAAACAGTTATAACATTAAAAAAGAAGTAACTTCCCACATATCAGTTGAGTTTGTGAAACTGTAAGCCCCCTTCCATACAAAATCTATACTTTAGAAAGATTAGAAGTAAACACTGAAATGTGAATTCAGGTTTGTTCAAATGAGTTTAAATTGCAATGCAAAGTGGCACACGGGAGCAAAAATACTCATCTCACCGAGCTGCGATTGGTTTCCATCAGCCATCTGTATGAGAGCACTGTCTTTCTTATTGTATAAAATCTTCACACGCTGCACATCCCCATAAACACCTTTTCAGAATCAGAAAAGCAATTCAAAAGAAACAGTGTTTTAAGGATAGCTAAACAGGACATTTTGACATATCAATGACACATTCGGACAAGTCTCTCACTTCTCCCAACATTCACACAAATGAATAAAGAAGGACAAGATTTTGAATAGGTGAATTTTGAAAAAAGGAAGACATTTCTGATAAACCCTCAAAGCTATGTGAATGATATTAAATTAAAAGTCATGCAAAATAAAAATGCATGCATTAAAAGAAAATTTTGCGTCTATGGAGAGTTTTAAAAACAGCAAAAGAAAAATAGCAAAAGATTTACTATCCAACTTTAAGCCAAAGTGCTAGCTACAAATAAGAATTAAGGTGAAACAAATAATTAAATCAATAATAAAAGTATAGTGCTAACGATAACATACCGAAGAGGGTAAACAGACTTTGGGGCGTAACCATCTTTAGAAGGAGAGAAGAGCAAGCAGCATAAGACAAGAAGAGAGAAGAGTCGAGGAAGAGCGGAGATGAACAGATCATCCATAACGAAGGGTGGTTCCCGCAGAATGGTGAGGTGGTCATGGATCATGGTTCAAGGCGGTTAATTGGGGCAAGTTGGTCCGAGGAACATTTTGTTCAAGCACAGAAGCATGAACATAGGGAATGAAGACAGGGGGCGTAGACAAGGAATGCAAAGGATAGGACAGGGAAGGGCGTGGGAATTTGGGGAGAGAGAGGGAAAGGGTAGGTGAGCACAAAGGGAGAAGGATGAAATGGGGAAGGGAAACAGCAATGCAGAAGAAAAATAAGGTAGTGGGGGAACAAAAAAAAAGTAAAATATAGGTCAGTACATAGGAAATGCAGGAATTTGGTCAGAAAATGGTTTGGTTTATGTATTGCACAAGAAAACTGAGTAAAATGTAGTCACCCAAGACAAAATATGGGTAAAGTACATCCATATAAAACAGTAAATTACATTTCACCTGAATGAAAAATGAAAACATGCAATAGAAACTTAAAAAATAAACACCTCTGAACTTTAACTGCATAAGCATAGCTGGTTATGAAATGCAGACAAATTTTCAAAATGGCACTCTGGTCTAAGCATTTTAACATGCAAGACTATGAAAGACAAAATTAATCAACGCGTAATGATTCATATTGAAAACAGAGGCCAGTAAATAGTGGAACACAATCAAGGTAGACAAACTGATATAGACCCACATTTCATACCAGCGTTCACAGCAAGTCAAAGTAAAGGTCAAAGACAACAAAATGCAAAACTAAACAAAACTTCTGGAGATGTCAGAGTTAAGGAAGTAGCAAAGTAAAGATTTTTTAAAGTAGAAAAAATGAATAGAAACTGCAAAGGAAAGATAAAATTACTAAGAGAGACTGAAGAGGTCCACGGCAAGATCTTTGGGAGAACCTTCAAAGAAAAATGTGTTAGAGTTGTTCACATAAATTAATACGACAAAAATGCAGTGACATGTAAGCATGAAATGAACAAGCAAATAATTAGCAGACAAAGAACAGAAGGGTGTTTTTTAAGAAGATCTACTTTGCAAAATGGATCAGCATTAATACTTACAAAAATAAATTAAAAGACACCCATTACATGCAATATTTACCATATTTTTATTAGGAAAAATAGGTAGGCAAATAGAAAAT